CCCTGGTATAACCATGGCAGCATCCCCAGTGCCTGGCAAGGGAAAGGAAAACACCTCTCCCAGTGTCCTGGCCATGCTCCTCCTGGCTTGGCCCAGGACATTGTTTTCCTTATTCTCCATAAGAGCCTATCTGTGGGACTCATTTTATGTGGGGTCAGAGTGGGAGCAGCACCGTGGTGTGGGGCCAAGGCACCCACCTAGGGTTTGTGGGGGGATGAGGGTGCCAGTGGCAGCAGGGAGGGCTGTGGGGCTGGGACCCCAAGAGCATGGAGGAGGAATCCCAAAAGCATGGAGAGGGACCCCCATAGCCCAGAGGAGGGCAGGAGGCAGGATGTGGCCAGGGGGAGCAGCCCTGGGTCCTGCAGCAGCAGGGAAGCTGCTGAGCCAGCCCCCAGCCCTGGCCCCGAGGGAGAAAGGAGCCAGGGGGGAGATAAGGCTGGGGATTTAAGGCTCCTGGCAGATCCTGACAGCCAGGGCTGCCTGGCTTCCATCAGCCTTTAAAAATGCCTCTCTGGAGTTCAGGGATCCTTGCTGCCAGCAGAAACAGGGCCAGGCAGAGGGGGTGAGAAGAATCCTTCCTCCCTCAGAGCCCTCAGCACGGGGTGAAGGTGCCATTTTAGGAACTTTTATTGCAGGAGGGAGCTGCTTGCTCAGAGCTGTTTCCAGGAGAGGCCTGGGGTAGACTCTGAAGGCCAGGGCAGTTTGGGATGCAGGAGAGCCTGGCTGGAGCCTGCCCAGCTCACACTGGATTAATTAAACATTTGGTTAGAGAGAGGCAGTGAGACATGAAGGAGCAGGGAACCCCTGTGTGGCCCCTCCTGCACATTTGGCCAAAGGCTTTCCCTGAGCCATGGGATGCCTTTCCCTGCTGAGCTGCCCCAGGACAGGAGGCTGGAAGCTTGGTGCCAGCAGCAGAGGTGGCCCTGCCTCCCACATCCTGCTGAGGTCCTCTGCAGGAGGGCAGGATCCTCCGTGGGTCCTTCCCATGGCATTCCCTTCCCTTCAGGAGCTGGACACAATGATCCTTGTGGGTCTCCTCATGCCTTCCCAGGGCAGGATCCTCTGTGGGTCCTTCCCATGGCATTCCCCTCCCTTCAGGAGCCAGACACAATGAACCTTGTGGGTTTCCTCATGCCTTCCCAGGGCAGGATCCTCTGTGGGTCCTTCCCATGGCATTCCCTTCCCCTCAGGAGCTGGACACAATGATCCTTGTGGGTCTCCTCATGCCTTCCCAGGGTAGGATGCTCTGTGGGTCCTTCCCATGGCATTCCCATCCCCTCAGGAGCCAGACACAATGATCCTTGTGGGTCTCCTCCAGCTCAGTGTATTCTGTGATTCCAAAGCACGTGGCTTCCCAGGCACAAGCACCTTTCCATGCCCTGGGAGGGAGGGAGTGAGTGAGTGGGAAACAAGGAGCCCCAGTGGTGCTCAGCACCCCCAGCCTTGCTGCAGAGAGCCACAGGCAGTGCTCCAGGCTGCCTCCAGGGCTGTACCCCAGCAGGGCAGCCAGCCAGGGGTCTGTGCAGCAGCCAGGCAGTTAAAGGTGCCTGTGAGCCCTGTTAGCATCCCATCACTGCTGGAGGTGGGGAAACTGCTGCAGTGATGGGGCCAGAGCCACTGGCACCGAAATCACCCTCCAGGGATGAAGGATGCTTGGATAAAGTGGAAATTTCTGTGCTTTCACTGGTTAATTTCCCTCTTTGCAAGCATGAATTTCTATGGATGTCCTTGCTGCAAGCCTAAGGAAAAGCAGCAATGTCCCAAAGCTGCTGTCACCTCCCAGGGCAGAAAACTGGGGTGTCCTTATGTCTGTGTCATGCTGGACATGAGGAAAAGGTTCTTCCCCCAGAGGATGCAGGCAGTGCCCAGGCTCCCCAGGGAATGGGCACAGCCCTGAGGCTGCCACAGCAGCATTTGGACAAGGCTCTGAGGGAAGCACAGGATGGGATTGTTGGGGTGTGTGTGCAGGGCCAGGAGCTGGGCTGGATGATCCCTGTGGGTCCCTCCCAGCTCAGGATGTTCCATGATCCTGTGATGCTTCCAGCACATGGTGAGAACATTCCCATTGTTCAGGCAGGAGGGGTTTTAGCCCCTGTGTGAAGATTTCACTTTTGATTTGGTGTTTATTCTGGAAACAAGAAATTCCTAAAGAAAATCTGTTTTCTCACCCAGGGGAAGACATGGAGGAAGCAGAACAGTTTTGAGGACAATGTTCATTTATTTTACTCCTGGAGGTTTTCATTACTGGAGAAAAATTAATCAATAGGAAAAAAGGACTTTGCATCAAATTTCAGCGATTTTCCTGTCTTTACACGTGATTTCAGAACATTTAACTTGGGAGAAGTTCTGATTTTTTCCAGATTATTTTATCCCTTGTGGAACCTGCTGGGGAGGAAGGGACTTGCCAAAACTCCTGGCTGTGTTTGGGTGGCTCATGCAAAGAGTTTCAGTGTCCCAGCTTGGCATTTTTGAGAAACAACCACTGAGCCTCAGTTTTTATCCCTCTCCAGCCATTGACCTGTGCCAGGGCCAATGTGGGGAATGTTTTTATCCCTTGGAGTAGTCACTACACTCCACAGCCTGGGCACTTTTGGATGTCTCTCTGTCTTGATGCAGAAGAAGCATTATAGGAAAGTACCTATTTTTAAAATAAACCTCAGGAAGGTGAAAGAGGCCCCTGTCTGAAACTATCCTTGCTGGAATGACCCTGTATTTCACCTGGGCTGTCAGATGAGAGCAATTTTATCTCTTGGTCTTTTGTGTGTCTCAAATATTGGTATTAGTGCAGGAAGCCTGTTATCATGTCCCTATTGCTTCTGGGGAATGCAGAACTGCCCAGCCATCACCTCTCCCAACAGTTTAACACCCTCTGAGATGGGCTGGTCCTGAGGGAAGGGGGTCAGGAATGCAATGGAACAGGTGAGGGATCGATGGAAAGATCAGGAACATGAGGAGGATCCTGGTTCTCCACAGCTCCTTTGACCATAAGAGGAAGGAGGGACAGTGCAAGCAGGAAGGCTGATGGAATTTCTCTGTCGAGCTTTTCTCATTGGAAACTCAGGCTAATTCTGGAGGAAAGGAGATGACAACTGAAGAAAAAAACCAACTTTCTTTTTTTCCTTTTTTCCCAAATAAGAAATAGGTACTTCTTAGCAATGGCTCTTGCTCACAGCAACCCCAGTGAATGTCTGTCCCAGGCTGTTTTCTGATCTGCCTCATTCCTGGGAGCCTTGGCAGGTGACTGAAGGAGAAGTTTGTTAAACTTGTTTCAGCACAGGAACCACCTGCCTCCCCCCAGGCTCTTCAGGCTGTGTAAGAATTAACAGCAACAGAAAGTCACAACAGGAGTAACCACAGAGGAACAGTCTGAGCTGAGCCTTTCCTTGGGCACTACTGGTCCCTGGGCTTGGAAGGGACTTTCTGGTGTTGAAAGCTTTTATCCAGTGCTGAATCTGTTAGTGCTGGATCACAGTGTGGTCCGTCCTTCACCACTGCCTGCTGTGGGCACCACACATGCCCTCACCCACCCTGTGGGGCTGCACACACGTGGGGTTGAGTGGCTGCTGCTTATGGAGCATCTTCTTCACCTGTGGGGGGTTCAGAGCCTGGAGGGAGGGCCCAGCCCTCTGCTACTGCTCAGCAGAACCAGCACTTTATTTGTAATATTGAGTCATAAAATCATTAAGGTTGGCAATGTCCCCTAGGATCATCAGCCCAGCACTGCCATGTCCCCAGGTGCCACATGTACAAAGTCATGAAGACATAACTCTGTGGAGAGTTGCAAAAGGACCCTATGAGACAGTGTGACCAGGGAGTGAGAAGGCAATTGGAATTCAAAAGAATTGAGGCAATACAAATGGGAGAAAACAACCCCAGGTTCATGGAACAGTGCAATCACAGAATGGTTTGGGTTTGGAGGTGCCTTAAAGACCATCTGCCATGGGGCATCTTCCAGCAGACCAATTCCCACACACCTGCACAGAGATGAGCTGGGAGCTGGCCCAATGTCCAGTGGTTAAAAAATAATGTGGGCATTTCTGAAAAAAGAAGAGAATAACAGTGAATGTTGTTATGCAGTGTGGGACATGACAGAGATTTGGACAACTCTAGAGGTTGTGGACAAGGCAGATGGTGACTGAGTGTCCATCAGCAATGGAAATGTGGGATGGCATCAAGAATGGCAGCTTGGCTTCGAAGCAGAGAGCAGCAGTTTCTTCCTGCAGCATGTGGTTACAGCACAGGGCTCTTTAGGGGTAAAACAGGTGCAGGACATCTGCAGGGAATAAAAAACTGAGTGGGTAACGTGGAGAAACACCCACGTGGGGTATTGAGTGCAAGGAGCTGCATCTCAGAAGGGAGTGGGGAAGTGTTGTGGGCAACGCAACAGCAACATGGTGGTTCATGCCCTGCTCCTTGAGCAGTAATGGAATCATGGAATATCCTGACTTGGATGAGACCCACAGGGATCAAATCCAACCCTTGACCCTGCACAGACACCCCAACAATCCCACCCTGTGTGTCCCTGGAGCAGTGTCCAAATGCTCCTGGAGCTCTGGCAGCCTCGGGGCTGTGCCCATTCCCTGGGGAGCCTGGGCAGTGCCTGCACCCTCTGGGGGAAGAACCTTGCCCTGATATCCAGCCTTAACCCCCCGACAGTCGCTACTGGGGGGAGGATCCTGGTGTCCATGGTCTCACCTGGTACAGCCACTGACATCTTCTTATGTGGCAGTGGCTAAAATTTCCCTCTGCACTCCTAAAGTCCCTGTTCTGCACTTGTGGTTGGGGAACAGGGACAGAGGTGTCTACACAGGGACCCATCTCTGCAGGTGCCTTCTCAGGGCCTTCCCACCAGCTGCTCCTTCTCTACAGTGCCCACCTGCAGTTGTCAGGATTTCCTGTGGACTCTGCAGAGCCTCAGGGATCGTTTGGGCAGCAGTGCTGGGCTCCAGCATCTCCCCAGCCCCCTTCTCACTGCTCACCACTGCTCTCTTCTCTTCCAGGCTGCCCCTCAGGAACATTCAAGGCCAGCCAGGGGGATGAAGGGTGCGTCCACTGCCCCATCAACAGCCGGACAACCTCGGAAGGGGCCACAAACTGCGTGTGCCGGAATGGATATTACCGGGCAGACGCCGACCCCGTGGACATGCCGTGCACCAGTATGTGGGTCTGGGCAGCTGGGAGGGAACCACGAGGTGGGGAAAGGACATGGTCCTCAGTCAAAGCACTGAGGGATGCTTGACAAAGGTGTCTGTCCCAGTGGGGTTTTGGGGGACACTACACAAACTAGCTGGTAAATTTTGCCAGGACTTTTACACAACCAAATTAGCCTGTGGTAATAGAACTGATTTCATTCCCCCTCTTTGATTTGGATGTCTAGCTTGCTGCACACATCCCTGACACCAACAGAAGTAGGGATTTATTAAGAGGCCTCAAATGGATCTACCTAGGGCAGCACAACTCAAAATGGCCACAAAAATGGATGACAGGTCACAAGGTCTCATACTTTTATAAGTTTTGGTCCATTAGCATATTGGAGCTAATTGTCCAATTACAGCTTTAGCCCATGCAGTCCCATCCTTCTTGTTTTCTCTCTTTGGTCCACAGTTTATGCTCTTGGGTGTGAGGTCTGGATCAGCTGTCCTTGGGTCCCCAGCTAGAGCAGGAATTGTTTTATCTACCTATTCTGTGAAGAGAGCTCACCATCCCCTAATATGAAGCCCAGACTTACACACTAAAGCAGAATAGAATCTGAAAAATATAAAAGCTAAAACCTGAGGCATCAGGGGTGGGCAGTGTCCCTGGGCAGTGCTGGCTGAGCCCCTGTGGGCTGGAAGCCCCTCTGGGGTGAGCCCCTGTGGGCTCGGCTCACACAGAGCCCTGCCCAGGGATGGGGAGGAGGAGAGGGGCAGCTGCTCACACCTTCCCGTGTGCTCCCTTTGCAGCCATCCCGTCCGCCCCGCAGGCCGTGATCTCCAGCGTGAACGAGACGTCGCTGATGCTGGAGTGGAGCCCCCCGCGGGACTCGGGGGGCCGCGAGGACCTGGTGTACAACATCATCTGCAAGAGCTGCGGGGCCGGGCGCGGGGCCTGCACGCGCTGCGGGGACAACGTGCAGTTCGCCCCGCGCCAGCTGGGCCTCACCGAGCCCCGCATCTACATCAGCGACCTGCTGGCCCACACCCAGTACACCTTCGAGATCCAGGCCGTCAACGGCGTCACCGACCAGAGCCCCTTCTCCCCGCAGTTCGCCTCCGTGAACATCACCACCAACCAGGCCGGTAAGGCCCAGTGCCCTCCCTCAGAGCTCCCACACCACGGTGGCGTGGGGGCATGCCCTGTGAAGGCTGAGCTAGAACACAGAGCTAAAGAATAAAGTAGGGATTTATTGAGAGGCCTCAAATAGATCCACCTTGGGCAGCACTACCCAAAATGGCCACAATAATGGATGACAGGTCACAGGGTCTCTCACTTTTGTAAGTTTTGGTCCATTAGCATATTGGAGCTAATTGTCAGCTTTAGCCCATGCAGTCCCATCCTTCTTGTTTTCTCTCTTCGGTCCACAGTTTATGCTCTTGGGTGTGAGGTCTGGATCAGCTGTCCTTGTTCCCCAGCTAGAGCAGGAATTGTTTTATCTACCTATTCTGTAAAGAGAGCTCACCATCCCCTAATATGAAGCCCAGACTTACATACTAAAGCAGAATAGAATCTGAAAAATATAAAAGCTAAAACCTGAGGCATCAGGGGTGGGCAGTGTCCCTGGGCAGTGCTGGCTGAGCCCCTGTGGACTGGAAGGGGACAAGAGTGGGGTGAGGTGTTGCTTATTCCATAATGTTGGTGGTGATGAGTGCCTGGCAATTCCAGAGTGAATTCCAAGCCCTGGGTGTCAAAATATCCCTTATTTCAGTGAAAATCTGAAGCATGTCCCAAGGCAGAGCTGCCTCCCCATCATGGCAGCAGAACAGCTGGTGGCACTGTCCCCTGGTGTCACAGCATCACTCTCCAGCACTGGGTGTGGCTGGGCCTGAGGCTGTTGCCTCCAAGCATCATTGCAGGCACCATCAGAGTGTTGCAGACACACTCCTGGTTCCTGGGGAGGGAAGGTGAGGTGGCTCCAGCATTTTGATGGGAGCTGCAGTCCCTGCTTGGACTGTAGAGAGAGCCAGACCAGACTGAGAAAGCAAAGGAGAGCTGCACAGGAGAGGGGCTGGGAGATGAATATTTGGGATAATGGTCTGGGAATCTGCTCCAGTTCCTGTGCCACTGCAGAGTCACCTGGTGAAGCAGCTGAAGCACAGAGCTGGGAGGGTTTCAGTCAGGGTCTCCAGCTCTGTGCAGGGTGTGTTTGCTGGGGGAGGGATGGTCAGAGTGGCTGCTAGTGCTGCTCCCAGGAGGGTCCCCAGCAGCCCCCTGGCAGCTGTGCTGGTGGCAGGGAGCCCCACTGAGCTGCTGGCCAGGGGCTGCCTTCCCAGCCCACCTGGAAGCCATCTGGAGCTGGGCACAGCTGGGGCTGGGGCTTGGCTGAATGGGATTGAGCTGGAAGGATGCCAGTGAGGCACAGCCCTGCTGGGAGCAGGAGAGATTCTGGTCCCTCTGAAGTGCCCTGGACACTACCTGACCCCCAGGGCTGAATTTGGCAGCCATGGGTGAATCACCTGGAGGCCATGGTGTGTCCTGGCTGCCAGGGGTGGTGGGTGGGGTAAAACAGCAGAAGGGCAGGCGGGCATCACTTGGGCATCACTTCCAGAGTGTGAGGACACAGGGAACCTGCAGAAATGTCTGGGGGAATTCTTATGGTGCCCTGTGATCTGGGGCTAGCTTGGGAGTGGGGCCAGGGTGTTTTTGAAGCCCTGGAGGCAGGTCTGACACAGGCTGAGCCATGGTTTGGCTCCAGGCAGAGACAGGGCTGCCCCAAGGAGGAGAGGGGAATGGGTCTGGATGATGAGCTTCCTTTACCTGATGGAGATGGGGTGGCTGTAATGCTGCCTGGAGCTGGGAAGGGGCTCTGCACCCTCCCACCGTGGTTCTGTACTATGGATTAATCATTTGATGCTCATATTTCATACTTGCATTTCTCTGCTGTGCTTGAACCTTCATGGATCACCCGTGGCTGCTCCCACCTGAGCAAAACCAGCGAGCTGAGTCGAAGGCAAATCCTTTTCAGTCCCCTGCATCCTCCTCCTTGTGTTTTCCTGGTTTGACACTCCTTTATTATCAGGGCTCACACTTCTCAGCCTGTGTGATGTCTCTCTTAATGTATCTATTCATTAGCACTAAACACTAACTGTCTGCTTGCTAATTCCTCTGTAATTAGAGGCTCTGGATTCTTCTGCTTACACTCGCACCGGCACTGCCTGGCAGCCTTGATGTAGATCATTAACAGTTGGTAACAGAAACTGCAGACACAAAGGCAGAGCTGGGACAGGAGAATGGGGGGTGCTGGGGGAGAGGAGAGGGAGCAGAGGGAGGATGAGCCTCCTTCTGCCTTGGCTCTGGATGGAGGAGCCAGCTGGGGCTCCATTGTTGAATGTGTGATGGGGTCATGCTCCTGCCACAGCTGGACAAAGCAAAGTGCCCACCACCCCTCGGGGTCCTGCAGCCCTGCAGGAAGCAAGGAAAATCCCCCTGGTTCCCCAAGGGACACAGGGTGTGTGCTGGGGACCCTCTGTGCTGCAGGACTGAGGAGAGATGCCCCATCACCAACAGCATCCAAAACCTTCAGGGGTCACCAGTTCTTCAGCAGCCACATTTTATAAGGGCATAGAGTGCCAGGACAAGGGGGGATGGCTCCCCACTGCCAGAGGACAGGGCTAGATGGAATACTGGGAAGGAGTTCTTCCCTGGGAAGGTGAGGAGGCCCTGGCATAGGTTGCCCAGAGAAGCTGTAGCTGTCCCATCCCTGGAATTGCCCAAAACCAGGTTGGATGTGGCTTGGAGCACCCTGGGATAGCAGAAGCTGTCCCAGCCCATGGCAAGGGGTGATGAGGTTTTATATCCCTTGCAATCCAAACCATTCTGGGATCCCAGGAGAAATCTCCTGTGAGAGTAAGAAAACAACCCCTGTAGAGCAGCCAGAGGGAAGGAAGGTCCTGAGTGTGGCCAGGTGGGTGGCACATGCTGGGTGATGGTTGGGTGACCATCATCCCATGGCCATGACCCCTTCCAGCAAACGGGATCCCCATAAACATGATCCACCTGCCTTCCTGGGCAATGCCTTCTGTCACCTCTGAGCCCAGGCTGGGTTTTCTCTCTGCTCTTCCCAGCAGGCTCTCCTCAACCTCCAGCTCCACACTGTGCATCTGCAGCTCACCTGCACTGCTGCTTCTCACACCCTGCAGCTGAGCAGTACCTCGTCCTCCAAAGCCCAGCATCCCTTCAGGAGTGAAATCCAGGACTGTCCATGTGCCACAGTCCTGTCTGCAGGGACCATGACAGAGCCTGGGTGCCACCAAAAGTCCTTTCCCAGCCATTCCTCAACAAATGATCTGTGCCAAGAGGGTGGCTGAGAGCCGTGCCAGCATCCCAAGGGGTCAAGGAGCTGAGCCCAGGGCTCTGGATAACAACACTTGACTAATTGAGAGCCTTGCCAGGCACCAGCTCTTGCTGGCAGCCCCTGACTACTAATTTGTGGCCTTTCTTTGGGACTGCTGGGGAGTGGGGAGAGTCTTGGTGCTGTGAGGATTGGCAGGCTCTGTCCACACCTTGGACAGGCTGAGTGCCCTGGGACAGCTGAAGGCAAGGGCTCCATGGTCAGGGATGAGTTAATAGCAGTGGCAAGAGCACTTCTTGGTAACTGGCTTCTCTGACCTGAGGAGGGAGGAAGAAGCCTTGGGCTCTGGAGTATCCAGAGACAAATGCAAGACCTCCCAGTGGTGGGGGTAAGAGAGCATCCAGGCTCTTGGGAATGTGTCCCTTTTGTGAGCAACTCTTGTCACAGGGGATAAGGAGGGAGGATTAGTGCTGATGTCAGAGGCTCTTGGCTGCAAACAGAGCCACAGAGAGCCATAAAGGGCCCTTACAGAGGGAATACAAGGAGTGTGTGGTGAAGGAAATCAATCCACTGTCCTGATAAACCCATCAGGATGATTTCTGCCCCTCTATAGATCCAGAAAAGTTGTTATGATTATTTGCATTATTATTCTGGGTGGCATTTTCCAGCAGTATGTCACAACATGGTGATATGGCTTAGTGGACAAAATGGCATTCAGTCAAAGGTTGGACTTGATGATCTTGGAGGTTTTTTCCAACCTTCCATGATTCTCTAGGTCTCTTGGCCAGGAAGATGTGCAGCTCACAGCTCTGTCCCAGGTGCATGCCAGGCATCAGTCTGGTTTGAATTTCAGTGGCTGGCACAGCCCAGGTTGTGTCCCAGCCACACAGGGTCTTTTGGGGAGGGCTGTCCTGCCAGGCCTTGGAGGAGCCCCTGAGCTCAAGGACAGGTGACCACAGTCCAAAGTGAGGACATGGGCCATGGCCCTGCTCTGCTGGGGTCTCCTAGCACTGGACTGAGCCCAGCCTGATCCTGCTACAAACCTTGAGGAGTTGATCCATGAGCGATGGAGCACAGGTGAGACAGATCCCAGGTTGTGCAGAAAGGAGGGGTTTTTCCCCCTCACCTTCAAGCAAAACAATTCCCTTGCAGCCACGGCCCTGGAGCTCTGCTGGCAGAGGCAGGAGGGGCACGGAGAGCTCGGGGAGCAGGTGAGGTGAAGGGAGGAGCTGGGCAGGACCAGACCTTCTCACCAGCCATCCCAGCCTGCTGTTTGCTTGTCACATTAGTGATGCTGCTGGCTAGACAGGGACAGGAGACTTGTACTGCCTGGGGCACAGGGAGCCTTGCTTTTATCTTCTCACTTTCGCTGTGTCAGAGGATGTGTCTGGCTCCCTTCTTGTGAGGGAGGCACAGGAGAGCCCGTGCTGCTCTGGACACAAGCAGGAGCAGTGGCTCCTCCTGTTCTCTCTTGTGCTGCTCAGCTGGGCCCTGCTGCAGCCAGGAGTTAGTGTCTGTGAAACCAGAACCTGGGAAAGTGCAGAAATTACCTCAAAGGGCTGGAATGAGCTTTCCAGAGCTTCAAAGCTCTGAGTATTTGTTTATAATAGAATCCCAGAATGGTTTGGGTTGGAAGGGACTTTAAAGATCACCCAGTCCCACCCCCTGCCATGGCCAGGGCCACCTTCCACTAGCACAGGTTGCTCCAAGCCCCATCCAAGCTGGCCTTGAACTTCAACAAGATTTTGACACTCCACTTTCCTGTTTGTTCCAGAATAAAAGGCAGGAAGT